AAAATATCAATTAATAATTTATAAAAATATATTAAAATTATATAAAATATGAATTTTAAGTACTAAAATAATTATCCTATTATTAATCTTTTTATTTGTATAAATTTATTGAGTAAAAAATCAATTTTTGATATAAATATAAAATTGGTAGATTATTTATTTTATTTATATTTATAAATATTAAGTTTTAATATTATTCTATTTAATTTTATGTTGGAACTGTTTAATATAAAGATATGACATTTATTCAGATTATATTTTATAATAAAGATAATAACAACAATTGTATTTCATTTACCATCACAAATTAAAAAATGGCTTAGTGGCTTAAATTGCTAAGCACCTTAAGTTGCGAGTAGGCTTGGGTTTGAGTCGCGCAAGACGCAAACTTTTTTAAGATGGAATTTGCGCGTGTATCTGTGTATTGTGCGTATCGGTCCATATTGGCCGATACAGTGCGATATGCGGTACTGTATCGTAGCGATACACACGACTGGCATGATACAATGCCAGTCGTAGCATATCCCGTATCCGTCACCACCGATACCGATACAATATGCCCCGTACCGGACGTATCGTATCGATATTTAAATCCTTGCCCCTAACTGCAAAATCTAACAAGTAGTTGTGGTTCCTTGTCCAGAGTTGGTGCCGAAAATACTTGGCTCGCTTATACTACTTCAGGCTAAAGAAGGCAGCCATTACCACGCAGTGTGCATGGAGAGCAAGAGTTGCTAGAAGAGAGCTACGGAAACTCAAGATGGTGACATTTCTTTCCCTTTTCTGTTCTTTATGTTGGTTCTTTTTCTAAATTCAATTTATGATATTAATGAAATTATAGATTCCAATATTGCATGATCATATTGTTAATGTTCACAAACTTGTTTTGTGTAAAGTTACATTGCTATTATGTCCAAGCAGTCTTGTTTTCTTCCATGTGCAACTTAGAGCTTAACTATTTGTAGCATAAAATGATTATAGCATGCTTAGCCCTTGACAATCTAGTTGTGCACTTGAAATTAGGGTTTAAAGGGATAATACTAGAGAAACTGAACAAAGGGATGTCATGGTAAAGAGTCAATTCCCACTCTTAAGGAACCAATACATATATACATGCGTACATACATACATACATGTACAATTACATAATTGACCTTACAGGGCTAAAATAGAAAGGATAAGAAATTAACGAGATAGGATACAACAGGAACATTGGTAATACAATATAATACTCTTCCAATATCTATCATCTCTACACTCCCTCTCAAATTGATGCGCAGTCATAAGCGTCAGTTTGTCCACAAAACATAGATTTTTAGATCTAGTCATAGCCTTGGAAAAGATGTTGGCAATCAGCATGTCAGAGGTTACATGTGGAAGAGTGATAGAGCCAAGAAGAGTCAAGTGTCTAATAAAGTGATAGTCCACTTCAACATGTTTAGTCCTCTCATGGAATACCAGATTAGTAGCAATCCTAGTGGCACTAGTATTATCTGCATGGAGAGTAAGAGAAAGATCAACATCGAGGTTAGCAAAGAGAGACTTTGGCCAAACAATCTCACTGTAGACAGAAGACATAGTACTACACTCTTCTTTAATAGATGACTTAGAGATTGTCTGTTGCTTCTTGCACTATTAGAGGTAAGAGATTCATTCATAAACACACACTATCTTGCAGTAGAACATCATGTGTCAAGGCATCTAGCCCAGTTTGTGTCAACATATTCCCTAGTTGAATTGGTAAAGTTGATGAGAACATGGTCACTGAGAGAACCAAGAAAGGAAAAACGGGAGGGAAGTACAGAGAAAAAACAGAGTTGGAGAAAAAGGAGAGGCCATGTGTAAAGAAAAGGGCAAGGAGATTAGATCTGAAGTGGACAACTTGGGAGAAAGGACAAAGGGGAAGAGGACCCGGTGATTGTCCTAGTTGATAGAATGAGGCATAATTTAGAGATATCTAAGGATGTGAATGCAGAAACTAAGAAAGGAAAAAGGAGAAAACTAAATGAGGTGGAGAAGCTCATTAATGATGTCAAAGGGGACGAGTTTAGTGCTAGGGGAGGAAGAAAAGGAGGTTTATAGAAAGAGGAGCACGAGGGTAATTTTAGCTAGGTCAATGAAGGTCATCAGCTGGAAAGTGAGTTGTGTAGGAAGTGCCACAAAGAGAAGAGTGATTAGATTTGCTGAAGAAGGAGAAGCTAGACATAGTGTTGATCCCAGAATCCAAAATTTAGGGGGTAAATAGGAAATGGATTAGGCGCTTTTGGGGGGAGAGAGAGATGTTAATGGCGTTTTTACTAGCATGGGGTGCTTCAGGGGGAATAACAGTTTGGAAGGAGGATATGTTCCATTGTAATGAGGAACTAGTGGGAAGATTCTCAGAATATTCAGGATGGGTTTGAATGGGCTCTCACCAATGTTTATATTCCAACTTTTTATAGAGAAAGGAATGTGATGAGGGAAGAGTTAGCAGACATTAGAGGATTGTGGGGAGGACTTTGGTGCCTAGGAGGAGAATTTAATGTAATCAGGTTTGTGGATGAATCAAATGGAGGAAGACAAAGGGTTTCGTCTAGCATGAGGAAATTTAACAATTTTATTGAGGTTTTTGAGTTAAGAGATATCCTTGTAGGTCAACCTAGCTTTACATGGTCTAATCTTCAAGTTAACCCTATCTGTTCTAGGTTGGACAGATTTTTATTTTTTTTATACTGGGAAGACCATTGGACGGGTTTGATTGGAAAAACATTACCTAGAGTTACCTCAGATCATTGGTCAATTTGCTTGTTTCAGAGGTCTACTGCTGGAGGCCCAATTCCCTTTAGATTTGAGAACATGTGGTTTAAATGGATTAGAGGTTGTGTGCAAACAAGCCACTTCTCTTTTATAGTTAATGGAACGACAATTGATTTCATTGAAGGGCTCCTGAGGTCATAGACAAGGTGATAAACTTTCTCTCTTTCACTTTACACTGGTGGCTGAGGTACTATGTAAGTTGATCCTGAAGGTTAACTCCTTGCAGTTGTTTAAGAGTTGGGTTGTTGGAAGAGATAGCTTTTTGGTGTCCCACTTGCAGTTTGCAGATGATACTCTGGTTTTTTGTGGTGGGGTAGAAAATTTGAAGTTAGTAGTGATGCTCTTTGAAAGGATATCCAATTTGAAAAATCAACTGTCTAAATGTTTATTGGCTGGAATCAAAGTGGAAGATGATAATTTTAGAGCAATGGCAGATTCGTTGGGCTGTGAGAAAGGAAATTGGCCTCTGTGTTATTTGGAATTACCCCTTGGTGGCAACCCTAGATCGATTAGTTTTTGCACACCAGTAGTGGAAAGGTTTAAGAGAAGGCTAGCAATTTGGAAAAGGAATTATATCTCGGTGGGTGGGAGAATTACATTGATCAAATCCATTCTAGCAAATCTCCTATAGTGCTACATTTTGGTTTTAGAATGCCCCAAGCAGTGGTAAGAAGAACTGAAAAGATTATGAGAGATTTCCTCTAGGAGCCTAGGAAAAGAAGGTGGTGCAGCTGAAGGAGGAAGGGGGACTAGGCATTGGAAATGTTTAGTTGAAAAATACAGCTTTGTTGAGTAAATGGTTTTGGAGGTTTTGTAAAGAAAATGAGAAGTTGTGGAGTAGAGTTATACCAAGTATCCATGGGCTCTCAAACAATGGGTGGGATGCAGGCAGCTTGCATAGAGCTACTATGGCTGTTCCCTGGAAAGCTATCCATGACATTCTTCCTATGTTCCTCATTCACATAAGGTATGACTTGGCTTTGGGTCAGAGAATTAGGTTTTGGGAGGATATTTGTGTCAGGGATTCCTCCTTGGCTGAGGTCTTTCCCTCTCTCTTTGGTCTCTATAGCTTTAATGTAAAACCCGTGTGTGATTTTATCAATTCTTCCTCTTCCCGTTCATGCTTGAGTTGGAATTTGGACTTTTTTAGAAATCTTAGAGAATCCGAAATTTCTAGTGTTCCTTCTTTTCTTAGCTTGTTGAATTCAGTGGTCTTGGGGGGTGGTGGTTCTGATTCCAGAGTATGGGCCCTTAATCAAATTGAGGATTTTTCTTCCAAGTCCTTTCTGAACTCTCTTGTAGCCTCCTCCCTTTCTCCTTCCTTCCCTGTTAAGTAGATTTTGTCTCGGTCTATTCCTCCAAATGTTAATGCTTTCTGTTGAGAAGTGTTTCATGGCTCCATTAACTTCTGTAATTTTCTTTAGAGGAGAGGACCAAATTGGTGCTTGTTCCTAAGTTGGTGTTGCTTATGTAAGTTGTATGGTGTGACTGCATTTCATCTACTAATTTTCTGTGCTTTTGCTATCTTTGTATGGGAGTGGTTTGCGTCTCTTTTTGGTTGCAGATGGCTTCCACCCGTTAGTTTGGAAGGTTTATTTAGCTCTCATACCTTTGGTTACTCTAAAAAAGGGGTCGGATTTTGGGGATATGCACAAGAGTAGCAATAGTTTGGACAATTTGGGAGGAAAGGAACTTAAGAATCTTTGAAGGCAAAGAAAGGAGTAAGGAAGCTGTGATAGAAGTTATAACCTTAAGGGTGGCACATTGGGCGATAACCTTAATGCTCTTCGCTGGTTTTAAGGTTGAAGATATCTTCAGATCATAGGGTCTAATCTAATAGCTCATTCTTCCTCTAGAAGACAGAGTATACAAGGCCTGTTCACTTCCATGTGCTGGATGGAAGAAATTGAACTTTGATGGTAGCTGCAGGGGCAATCCTGGACCCATTGGGAATTGGTGAGGTAATCAGTGGGGGAAATGGAGACATTCTAGCCATGTACTAAGGGTTCCGCATAGAGATGTGGTGAGATCAGTACTGATGGCAGCAGTGTACATAGTAGAGAAAGCTAAAAAAGTGGGAATTGATAGGTTGATTATTGAAGGTGATTCAAAAATAGTTGTGGGTTGGCTGAAAAAGAGGAAGGAGTAATTTGGCAGCTAAGGAATGAGTTCAGGCGCTTCAAACAGATATCTAAAGACATGACGATCCAGGTTAAGTGGATTAGGAGATCTGCTAACAGTTTGGCTGATGGTTTAGATAAACAAGGAATTCAGAGACGATCCATGTTTTGGGCTGTTTTGTAATTATTCAGATAGTTTTTAGGCCTGTTGTTTGTGCCCACAACATCTTGTTGACTTGTTGTATTACTTATTATTTTATTGAATTAATGAATTGACTTTGTGTTGCTGATCAAAATTGTTGAAATAGTTTATTTTATTTCTTGTTTATTATTTTCTGTCTTGTTAGGGTCCGTTTGGCTGGTCTAAATTCTTTTTTATTTTCTGTTATTGTACTTTATTTACAGCAGGGGCACAAGGGTCTTTTTCCCTTTTATTTTAGATGCCCTATAAATACTAATAGGAAGTCAAAATGGAGTGAGTGGGAGAATGGATATGAGTTTTCCCATGGCTGTAATTCCCTTCGATGGACTAAACTACCTTGAATGGTTTAGGGGAATAAAACTCTACATCTCTGCTAGGGGGGAAATTAGGATATATTAATGGGAAAGTGAAGGAACTGAAGAATGGAAGTGCTGATTATGATAGGTGGAACCAAGAAAATAGTATTGGTGATGTCATGGCTCTTGGTTTCCATGCTGCCACAAGTAAGAAAGACATTCATGTGAGCTGAAACAGCTTGTGAAATATGCGAACAAGCAAAATCTACTTATTCAGAGCAAAGGCGCTATGCCAAGATATACCAACTGCAAGTTGAATCCTCTACTTGCAAGCAGGGGGAGAGGAGTT